GCTATCATCTTAGACACCTCTGGAACTTTCTCTAAGCTAGATCACATTTTGGGCCATACAACAAGTCAACAAAGACACAAAGAAAATATAATAAAGTAATAATTTGTATCCCATCAGATTATAATGAACTAAAACCAAAATCAATACCCCAAGAAATTATGCAGACATTTTGAGCCAGAGCCATATACTTTTGAGTGATTCTCAAGTCATTGAAGAAATTGGGGATTAATTTGTTTGTATGCTTGTTTGTTCCAGCAGTACGGGGCGGGGGGGGGGGGGGGGGGGGGGGGGGGGGGGGGGGGGGGGGGGGTGGGGGGGTGGGGGGGGGGGGGGGGGGGGGGGGGGGGGGGGGGGGGTTTGAATCCGGGCTCTTGTGTATGCTGGTGAAGTGTTCTACCGCTGGTCTATAGTCTTCAGCCCAAAGGTGAAGTTCAATAAATTTAAATGTTTGTGGACTTGCTCACAACTGTACTCTGCCCACTGGGATCTACAGAAGAAAATTAAGTCTAAACAACCTTAAATTCATAATGGTGGTTTGTACAAAGATACTTATTAAGAGTTTTGTGTGTGCATGTGTGTGCACGTGTGTGTGCACGCGCGCATCTGCTTGTGTGCATGTGTCAAGGTTGACACACTGGGATGTCCTCTCTCAATCTCTCTTCCATTTTATTTATTTGAGATAGGGTCCCTCACGGACCTAGAACTCACCACTTCAGCTAGACAAGCTGGTCAGCCTGCCCCTGAGATATCTCTCTCTCTCTCTCTCTCTCTCTCTCTCTCTCTCTCTCTCTCTCACTCTCACTCTCTCTCTCTCTTTCCCAGTGCTGGCTTTACAGGCATGTTCCGTCATGCCTAGCTGTTACCTGGGTTCTAGGGATCTGAACACTGGTCCCCATGCTTGTGTACCAAGCACATGACCCAGTGAGCTGTCTCCCTAGTCCTAACGTATTATTTTTAATGATGAAATGACGGAAGAGGGGCGATTAAACCATGATTACACAGTCCTACTAAACCTTGATTTTGGACTTTTCGTCTCTAAAACAGAAGCAATATGTTTCTCTTGTTTTAAGCCATGAAATATTTCAAACCTGAGAGCCCAATATACATATAAGGGCATGTAATTTACAAAACATTTGTCACAATACTCAGGACTTAAGTCACAGTAACAGTCACTGGGGAGAGACTTCCCTTTCAAAGTAAAATTTCAGGCTCTTAAGGAAGTTTAAGAAGTAGTATTGGAAAAAAAAAAAAAAAAAGAAGTAGTATAGGGGCTGGAGAGATGGCTCAGCGGTTAAGAGCACCGACTGCTCTTCCAGAGGTCCTGAGTTCAATTCCCAGAAACCAAACGGTGGCTCACAACCACCTATAGTGAGATCTGGTGCCCTCTTCTGGCCTACAAGCAGGATACTGTATAAATAAATTAATTAATTAAAAAAAAAGAAGTAGTATAAAAAGTCAGGCAGTGGTGGTGCACGCCTTTAATCCCAGCACTTGGGAGGAGGAGGCAGGCAGATCTCAGTGAGTTCGAGGCCAGCCTGGTCTACAAAGCGAGTTCTAGGACAGCCAGGGCTGTCACACACAAAAAAAATCCTGTCTCCAAAAAACAACAACAAAAATACCCAAAGAAACAGAAAACACCAACAACGAAAGTAGTCTAAAGCTGCATGTCACCACGGTGTCTCTGACCGTTGCTCACATTCACCCTCTGAGTGTCGTTTCCTCTTTGGCCATTGTCTGCTCTCACCCTGCGAGAGTGCTTTCCTACAAACATGTCTTTGGTAGCTGTCCACTCTCATCCTCGAGAGTCCCTCATGCTATTCTGTAATAATTCTGCCTGATTTCTACACTGTGTCGTGTCGCCTCTGAATTCATATTCCACAAGTATCACAAAATTCTGAAAACAATAATAGGAAAAAGCTCTACTTCATAGACTATAAAAAGAAGACTTTTTGCATGATAGGAGCTCATATATCCCACGTTTGGCCTCGAACTCACTACATAGCTAAGGCTCTCCTGCCCCTATCCCCAAGTGCTAGAATTACAGGCACGTACCTCTACACTCATCTCAGAGTGATTATATTTTTTTCTCATCCATTCAATAAAACCTGAATGTACTTGATGTTACTAAGAAACATTGTCAATTTTTCATTTTACCTTTTCATCCCTACACACTTGCTTACATATTTAGGGAGGAATGAAATGACATCAGGTGGGCCTCAAATGGAGGGGTTGCTCCTGCTGGGATGAAATAGTAGACTTCTGAGGCTGGAGAGATGACTCAGTGGTTAAGAGCGCTGACTTGTCTTCTAGGAGTCCTAAGTTCAATTTCCAGCAGCTATCTGGCGGCTCATAACCATCCACAATGAGATCTTGGTGCCCTCTTCTGGCCTTCATGTATACATGCAGACCGGATACTGTATACATAATAAATAATTTTAAAGAAGAGAAATCGTAGACTTCCTGTGGCCACCATCTGTATGGGCGATGAGTGGGTGGGTTTAATTGTGGTACCCTGCTTGTTTTGGTTTGTGAAGATGACCTTGAACTCCTGATTCTCCCACCGCCTGTCTCCAGTGCTAAGACTGTGAGCATGTGCCATCCATGTTAGGCAAGCGCTCATCCAACTGAACTACACCCTCTGCCTTTTTGTGTTGATTTTGGCTTTTAGTTTTTTTTTTTTTTTTTTTTAGAAAGAGGCTTGAGAGACAGGCTAGAAAGACAAAAGAAAATTAGGGGACCATAAGAAGGAGAAGGCGTTCCTCATTGGTTAAAGCTTTTACCATCTAAGAAACATGAATTCCAACACAACTGATATTTTCTGTAAACGTTGCCAACATAGAAATATCATTCCTTTCATGTTAGATATTTTATATTAAAAGAGTAGTGAACCTGGCTTAAAGCGTGAGTGTGTGTGATCTGGGGTCCGGTCTCATTCCTCCACCCTGGACATGGTGGCAGAATCTCAGGAAGATTGTTGGCTTTGTGCAGCCAAGGTCTCCTGCCTTTCTATAATCTAAACCTAGACTTTTCAATAGGTTCCTCAGCTTCTCTTTGAAGAAAAAAGTTTCAACATCCAACACAAAATTCCCTGTGTGGCTACTGTAGAGACAGCTCCCTCTTAGAGAACCCCACACCTATGTTCTGGGGTGAGCTTTTTCCCTTTCTGAGCACCTCTTTCTTTGAGCCCTCTTTGGAAGCTTTGAACTCTGCACTATATTGCCCAGGCGCGGCACTCTTCTCTGCACTGAAGCCGCAGATCCCAGGTTGGTTCTAAAAGATTAAGGATACTGATCAGGTTGCTGAGGGTAACACTAGGATGTTCCTGCCCCCCCCCCCCATCACTAACAGACTCTCATGTGACCACCCAAGCTGGCAGTGAAGTTGCTGTGTGGTGAGGCTGGCTTCTGATCCTGTCTTCTCCTCTCATGTGCTGGGACTCCAGGTGTGCGTACCACCGTGCCTGGCTACTTCTTGCTTTTGATATTTGAAAATGCCCATCGAAAAAGAAGTGTTTGTAAGTTTGAAGCACACAAATGCCGGCATTCATTATACTTAAATTTTTTCATTTTATTTTATGTGCATGAGTGTTTTGACTATATGTATATCTGTGCACCTTGTGTACACAAGGCCTGGGAGGCCAGGAGAGAGAGCTGGATGCCCTGAGACTGTAATTATGGATAGTGGCAAGCCCTGTGTGGGTACGGGAACTGAACTCAGGTCCTCTGGAAGATTCCAATACTCTTACTCACCGAACCAACTCTCCGACTCTTTAATTGGTTATAAGAGATTGGAAGGTGTGGTTTCTGATCCTCTTTCTGAATTTTTATTGGGCATATTTCATATTTACTGCGCTAACCTTAAAACTTTTTAAGGAAGAGGGAGCAGGTATAGAGTGTTCACCTTTTCCTACCATGCCTAGAAGATAGGTTACTTCAATCACACATCACTGCATTTTTTCCAAACAAAATTTACATGCATTCTTTCAATTGCCTCAAATGGTGTCAGATTTTATTTAAGGACCTGCAGACTAAAACTCGGGTGTGTCTGTCTCCCTGACATCACATCTACATCTAGATAGGGGCATTTCTGACTGAGCTGCTCTCCCACGTGTTTTCCCAGGGCCTGATCGGGACCTCCACAGCATGGGGCTTGACTTCAAATTCCAAGAAAGTTGTGAGTGTACGCGCGCGCGCGCGCGCACACACACACACACACACACACACACACACACACACACGGTTTTCTTAGTCTCTGAACAGTTGTCTATTGCCTAAAGAAATTGAATGTGAAATAGAAAGATGACTAACTTGCCTTCCTTGCTCCTTCTCCTCCCCCCTCCTCCTCCCTCTTCCTTCTTCTCTACACATTTCTTCCTCCTCCCTATTCGTCTCCCTTCCCCTTTCCTCCTCCTCCTTCTCTTTCTTTTCCTACCCCTTTTCCTCATCCCTTTCCTTCTACGCTTCTTCTCCCAGCTCAAACACTTGGCATAGTCTTGAGGTGGAATGGTGCAGCCGGAATAAGGCAGAGTGTCCTGGGCCTGGGCAGGCGTTAGTCACTGCCAGCGCCACAAGGCAGGTAGCCAGGACTGTGCTCCTTTCTTGGGGCCATAGGGCACCAGGAAAGTGACCTGGGTGTAGAATTCTCCGTCTGCCCAGAACCGCCGCACTGGGGCGACACCTCCGCAGTCGCCCAGGGACGCAGAGCACGGACAGTCAGTCTCGGGGCTACCTGGAGATTGACTTCTGAAAGTTGCAATCGGAATAACAGAGGGCCAGCAGCCAGGGCAAGTGACAAGTGGACAAGGTTGAAGTTAGGTGTGCGCAAAAAGCTGCAGAGCAGACCAGAGGAGTTTGCCGGTGCAGTGAAGACAACATTAAGGAGCGAGAAGGGAGATCGCCCGGCTTGTCCAGGTGAGAGCCCCGCGCTGCGGGGGACAGGAGCAGCCTCCCTGAGGAGGGGGTGTCCCTGCCGGCCGCCGGGGCTTCTTCCAAAGCAGGGGTGGGGATGCTGAGTCACAGATCTGTCACCACTTCGCACCTCTTTGCAACCCCGGGGGCTAAAGCAAAAGCGAAAGCGAATGCTCCTGGCTGCCGGCTGGTCCTGGAGCTGAGCTCGCTACCTCCCAGAGACCCCAGCCTTGCGTCCCGGTGGGGCACTGCGAGGGACGTTCGGCCATGACTTCGCGGCAGCTCTCGGGCTGTGGAGTCCACGCCCTCCAGGTGTTGCTGCTACTGCTGCTGCTGCTGCTCCCGCTGCGGGTGACACCGGGTAGGGAGCGTCTTGAGTCCAAACAGGGGAGTAGAGGGGGACCTGAACACCCGGCTGAACTTGACCCGTGGGGGTCACGACTTCACAGGACTCAAGTCCAGCTGGAGAGGATCATGGAGGGGCGTGGGGGTTGTGGGGTTCAGGACACGTGGAGGTAGGTAGCCGCGGAGAGCGCAAAAAAAAGATGAGAGCCCCTTGTCTTGCTCCAGGCTGGCTGCCGAGTCGCTTGTTCAAAGGAGTCGAGCGACCCCACTGACGTTTCGGAGACTTAGGGAGGAGAGCAGGTCTGACAAGCTCGGCGAGAGCTTGGAACTTGGAGACGTGTGTGAGAGTGCCTCTGCCAGCCCACACGCGCTGCTATGGGGTGTCCTGCCGATGTGTGGGGTTCCAGGAGGGGCTCGAGGAAAAACTAACGATTTTCAGGTCAAAGTAAATTAGATGAAAGGCACCGGGCAAAGGGCTGCGTTGCGGGTGGAAGAAAATGTGTGGGGTAGGTTGCATATCTGAACGCTGGGAAACAACTCCCAGTTCTCAAGTGTGCAGAAAGCTGGGGATGGTTGGAGAGGCGAGCAGACTGTGCTCCCAGGAAAGAGGGGGTGTTATGTGTTCCAGAACGTGTCGCCTAAGTCTAATCTCATCGGGAAGAAGGAGTGAGACCCTAGTTTTGTTCCTGTAAGTCTGTAAGGAAAGAGAAAGAACAGATGGATCTAGTCATGTCCCATCACGGGACGCTTCATCTTCTTATAATCATGAAATTCTTAAGAGTCTGATAAAAATCTATGTACTCTCTGTACAGAAATGTACGTGAAAGCACATACTTGCAAAATGTGCGCCTGACTTGGGGGGCAGGGGGGGGCAGGGCGCGAGGACTCACTGAAGGTCATCCATGGACTTCCCAGTGAGTTAGCAACTACTTATCCCCAAGGGTGTTTTAAAGCGAGACTTCTTGGTTTGGGGCGTCCAATCCAGTCTCCTTGGGACTCCATCATAGCCGGTCTACTCACACTTGCTCCTGGGGCTGGCTCTGTAGGGGTGTTACGGGGTTTCATTTTCCCAAGGCTATTATTCTAGGGTCACCACCCTCCATCTGTAAAGCTGGGTTTTGTTGGTAAATTCCTTTGAACTGCATAGAAAGGAGTGATCCTGAATAACCAGAAATAGCCTGCAGCTATTTCAGTCTGAAAGTGAATGTAGTTTTAGTCTTGCTCAGCCTGGCTCTGCCTAGAGGAAGCACCTCCCTCTTGCCTGAGGGAAGGCTCAGGGAAGCCTTGCTCTTTGACCTTAGGACGCTTTTGCCATCAGCTGGCACCTGAATCTTGGTTTTAAGAATAGCCATATTGGGTCGTAACTGACCATAAACTGCATATATTTAAATTGTACAGCTTACTAAGTTTCAAGATAAAAGTGTACACTCTTTAAACCGTCACCATAATCAACACAGGGACATGGTCATTACTGCCAAGTTCCCTGTGTCCTCACAATCCTTATCCCCTGCCCTACTCTGCAATGTCCTGTCTTTTTCCTGTAGATTTGTTGCACTTTCTAGAATTTTATATAAATGGAATTATACTGCATGCACTCTTTCTTATGTGGCTTCTGTAGCTCACTAATTATTCTGAGTCTTCATTCATGTTTTAATTTGAATCAACAGTAAATTCCCACCAAATCTGGTGGAGAATGCTTGCTTATAATCCCAGCACTCTGAGGCAGAAGGATCTCTAGTGCAAGGACAATCTGTGTTATATGGCAAGATCCAAAACCAAAAATAAACAGAAGGGTAACCACTGAGGAGATGGCTTAGTGGGTAAAAACACTTGCCACCCAGATTGGAGGGCCTGAACTCATATGAGCAAGATGCATAGCACATAGGGTGGGATGAGAGGCAGGGATGGCAGAATCCCAGAAGATCAGAGATGGGAAAACGAGGAGGGAGAGAGAGAGAGAGAGAGAGAGAGAGAGAGAGAGAGAGAGAGAGAGACTGTGAGACTCAAGCAAGGCAGAAGGTGAGGAATGACTCATTACACTCCTGTCTCAGCATCCAGGTGCTGGGATTGCAGGAGGGTGTGAGCAACCATACCCAGTTAAACAATTATTCATTGTTAAAGATACGATCGAGCTTCAGTTGCCTCCTGACTGTTGGGTATTTAGGTTGCCTCAGCAAGGGTAATGGTCTCTAAAAGCTCAAAAATAGCAATATCTGAGAGGTAAGATGTTGAGAAATACTATATTCTCTTTTTCTTCCTCTTCTTCTCCTTTCCTTGAGACAGGGAATTACTGTGTAGCACTGGCTGGCCTAGAACTCTCCAAGTAGACCAGGCTAGCCTTGCCAGAGATCTGCCTCCCAAGTGCTGGGATTAAAGTCATGCACCACAAAGCAGGCCTGGCTCTGGTGATTCCCTTTCTTCAAATGTGTCCTAGGAATCACTTTGGTGCCATTTATCACATATGGAGGTAGATGTTAGTGGATGCCTTTCTCCTTGAAAGACTTGATGCTCTTTTGAGCAGGGGATTATGGGGTCGATGGAGGACAGGTGCTCTAAAAGGGTGGGAACAAACTGTAGTGAGAGCCTGGAGGCTGCCAGTGAGACTGGGGTTCCTGCAATAGTTTGGTGTGCAATGAAGAAATCCTGAAACAGAGTGGTATCTATGAGATTGGAGCAAGTGACTTCTTCTTGAGTCCAAACTGTAAGGAACAGGTTTCGTTCTTTTCCTGTCGTTTGATCTACAACTGGTAGCCATCCTGGCTTCTAACCCTCGAAGGGGATTAGGAATCCTAGTTAAATGAAACTGAGGGACAAAGAAGAGCGGATGAGTTTGGGGCAATGAGCTGAGTACAGCCTGTACTTATTGCACCATGAGGAAGTATGCTGGGTTGGCTGGCACTTCAGACAGGAAGAAAAATAGGTTACTGGAAGCCTAGATGCCCTGACTGTTTGGGCACATCTGATTCAGAGTCAGCTTCCAGAGGGCAAGAGCCATGCTTTCATTTCGTGGTGCCTTCGTGCCTGTCACAGGGACTAAGCGGAAGGAAATGCTGTGACGGATTCTGACCCCTCTTAAAGATGGAAGACACAAGCTTACCTGACAACTCTTGAACTCCAGCTACAAGAGTAGGTCAGGGCTCCTTGCCCATCTTAGACTCTGCAAATCAACTTGATAAAGAAGCCTGATCCACAGGTTCTGGGAACCAGAAAGAGGTGTAGTCCTTTGCTAAAAATGCAAATGATCTTTAGGACTGACTGTGTAAGAACTTTGAAAGTAGCACAACTGTAAGTTAGCTCCGGGTTCCATAACTTCATCCACTGTAAGTATTCATGAGTTACCAACTTAAATACCTACTGTAAACGGGGTTTAGAAGTGGAAAAGGAGTTCCAGGGAACTGTGAAATACATGTACCATCTTCATGAAGCTTATGATCCAACAGACAAGATGAGACTTGCTATATATATATATATTGGATGTCTCCCATCCAAATACCAACCAGACTTGACCCTGCTTGGCCTCCAAGACCAGACAAGACCCATCAAGTTCAGTATGGTATGGCTGACATTGGATATCTAAGATATATATTGAGGGGGAATTGTAGAATCATTGTAGTATTAAGATATGTAATTAAGGCTGAAGGAAGTGAAAATTTATCATTACATTAAAATATATTGCTTCTAATGCAATTGCGAGACCATCTAGCTTTGTAAATTAAATAACTCACCGCCACTTGGCTGTTTGGCTATTTGGGTTTGCTGCAGCATTTTGATATTCTTGTACATTCAAAAATCAGCTATTCCTAGGTTTATCTCTGAGGACCATTCACCAGGAAAGACCCAAGATAGACTTCCTTTTTCAGAAAAAAAAAAAAAGTAGATAAGGCAAAGTGCTCTTGATACAAATACCCAGAAATGGTTAGCATTAAAGTCCTCTTTCAATTGATGGTTGGTAAAGGATATTTGTGTTGTTCAAAGCAAAAGTAATAATTCATTGGTTATGGAAAAGCAAAATGTGCAATGACGATAACACAAAGGTTGGGAATGATATTTGGACAATAATCTTTAAGGCTTTCTGGGGGTGGGGGAGAGGGTGTAGTGTGCATGTGTTCACTAAGGGGAACATTTCATGTCCTATTCTATAACTGTGCCTTATTCCTTTGTGATAGGGTCTCTCACTGAGCCTGGAGCTAGGCTAGCAGAGATCCCTTGTCTCCCCATCCCCAGCACATGCACAATCACGTCTAACTTTCCTACTTGAGGACAGAGGATTTAAACTCAGATCTTCACACTTGGACATCAAGAGTTCTACTGTCTGAGCCATCTCTCCAGCCTTGTTGAAGGTTCTTATGCTATTTGTGTGAGGTGATATAATATCACTCAAAGATAAACTCTGATATCCTAAATGAGCCTCTAGAATAAAGCAATAGCGAAACTGGGCACAGTGGTTCATGATTGTAATCTCAGCAACTGCAAAAGTGAGGAGGATAATTGCTAAGAGTCTGAGGGAAGGCTGGGCCACGTAGATAATTCTAGGATAGCCTGGGCTACATAGTGAGATCACATCCAAAACTAAACCCCAATCAATAAAAATCTAATTAAAAATATAATGCAATAACTATTTCATTAGTAAGACAATAAAGGAGATAAAATAGAATTATGAAATAGTTCAAGTAAGTCATGACCTGATCATGGCCAGAGGAAATTGCACAGGACCTAGAGAATGTTATTAAGATGAGTGAGTGACTTCAGAGAGACGGCACAATATACATATTTGCAGTTAATATAGTTTTGTAAATAAACATGAAAAATGCCAGCAAAAAACACTAAGAAATAAAAATTTAAATATGTTATTTTCTTTGGCATCAAAAATACTAACTCCAGAACCCATGAGGCCCACCTGAAGCTGAGTAGTCAGCAGCTAATGGCCCCCAGGGGACAGAGACTCGCTTCTCTTCACTGGCGCGGCCACTGGTAGGCTGTCCATTCTCCAGGAAAGAACCCCACACTCGTGTCCATGCAGGCACCTGTACAAAACTGTGTGTCATGGCTCAGCAGATAAAGGCACAGGCTGCCCTTCCAGAAGACTAAGGTTCACAACCACTGTAACTCCAGTTCCAGGGTATCCGGCACCCTCTTCTATCCCAGCAGGCACTGGGCTTGCATGTGGTGAGCAGACATTCAAGCAAGCAAAACACCCGACACATAATTATTAAAAAAAAAAACATACTTTTTTTTTAATTATGTATGTCTTAGTGTTGCTATTGCTGTGATGAGACACCATGACGAAAAAGCAAGCTGGGTGGGGAGGAAAGGGTTTATTCAGCTTCCATATCATAGTTCATTATCAAAGGAAATCAGGACCAAATCTCAAACAAGGCAGGAAGTTTGAGGCAGGAACTGATGCAGAGGCCATGGACGGGTGCTGCTTACTGGCGTGCTCCTCATGGCTTGCTCAGCCTGCTTTCTTATGGAACCCAGGACCACCAAACCGGGGATGGCACTACCCACAATGGGCTGGGCCCATCCCTATCAATCATTAATTAAGAAAATGCCCTACAGTCTTGCCTCTAGACTAATCTTGCGGAGGCATCTTCTTAACTGAGACCCCTCCTCTCTGAGAACTCTAGCTTGTGTCGACCTGACATTAAAGTAACCAGCCCAGTATGAACCTTAGAAAGACATGGACATAAAACGAAGCCTTGTTGGAAAGAAAAGGAGATGGAGGGGGTATGACGAAGATAAGTGGAGAAATTGGGGAACAGATTATCAAAAACATGCAAGAAATTAACAAAGAATCAATTAATTTTTTTTAATTAATCCCTTAGTACATCTGACAAAGGATGCACAAGGCTACCATGCTGAAAGCTCAAGGTGAGATCGCTCATCTGGGAGAGGTGCTTGGTGCTAAGTCTGATGGATGACCTTTGACTCTCAAAATTCCCACAGTGGAAGGGAAGAACTCCTGCAAGTTATTCTCTGACTTACATACACACACGCGCACACGCGCACACACACACACACAGACATTAAATACAATAGAAAATTTAAAGTACTATAAAACACTTTTTATCACAAAAGTCTTACAAGATCTCCTGAGTAAATTGGGAGCATGGGGACCTTGAGAGAGGGTTGAAGGGGAGGGGAGCAGAGAAAAATGTAGAGCCCAATAAAAATCAATTAAAAAAATATATGTTAAGAAATCACAAAAGTCTGAAATAAGGGCAGATACTGCGTTTGAGTTCGGGAAGACTTGGCGTTCCTTAGCGATCAGTTGTTCCCTGAGCTGACCTACAGCCTTGCAGTGGGAATTGCGGCAGGAAACTGGTGTGCTGACTCCACAATTCAGGGGGGGAAAAGGCACTGAATCGAAGAGCCCGCTTTGAAAGTAATTAACAAAGATTTACACACAGGTACACGGTTCAGGGCTTGTTATAAGGAGGGAGTGACATTTGATAAACAGATGAAAGCAATAGAGTAACAGGTGGTGGCACACACAAGCACACACGTGGTGCTGTCCCAGGATTCTATGAAAATATCATTGGATAGCTACCCGTGCTGAGAGGGGGGGAAAAACCCACTAAAGATACATGTGAGAGGTTAAAGGTCGAGGTGACAAAGCACACCCGATTTTGATCCCGAGGGCCCATGATGGAAGGACAGAACTGATTTCTGCAGGTTGTCCTCTAACCACACAAATGCCATGGCATGAATGCAGATATATATCACAATAAAAAAAAATAAAAATAAAAAAATAAATGAAAAAAATCTTTTTTTTTTGGTTTTTTTTTTTTTTTTTTTTTTTTTTTTTTTTTTTTTTTTTTTTTTGAGACAGGGTTTCTCTGTGGCTCTGGAGCCTGTCGTGGAACTAGCTCTGCAGACCAGGCTGGTCTCGAACTCACAGAGATTCGCCTGCCTCTAGGATTGGAAATGTCGGTTTAGACTTAGGGAGGGATATATTGAGAAATAAATAGCACCTACTCAGGAAACTACAGTAGTGAGCTCTTGGGGGGAAAAATTTTGAAACAGTCTCAAATGCCCAGGCTACCTTCCAAATGGCTATGTAGCTGAGGGTGCCCTTGAATTTCTGGTTCTCCTCTTTCTTCCTCCTGAGTGCTGGCATCACAGGCATGCATCACCATACCCGGTTTTAATAGAGGACATAACGGGGCAGAGGAAAGGATGCTGGAGCGTCGTCAGACTTCGACGAGCAGACTCCTCCGCATTCACTCCTCTTCCTAGGAGCTGTTCTGTTTCTGTCACTCGCTCAGTTCTTTACCTTTTTAGAGATTTATTTTTTATTTTTGTGCATGCATATGTCCGTGTGAGTGGCTGCCGTGTACTGTGTAGGTACCCAAGGGGGCCCGAGGATGTGGCAGATCCTCTGGCGCTGGAGGTACAGGTAGTCATGAGCCACCTGATGTGGGTGGATGCTGGAAACTACACTCAGCAGTATTTTCTCTTAAACACTGAGCCGTCTTTTCAGGTCCAAGCATTTTTTTTTTAACCCCCAGCACATCGGTCAGGTCTTCAGAAGGTTCTCACAGCGGGAGGAGATGCCCCACTTGCCAGCAGTGAGCGTGTTCTGCGGGGCCACAGTGATCAAGTCTTCTCCCAGGAACAACTGGAAAATGCACTGGTCCTTGTTGACCAGATGGGACCCCTGGCCCTGCTTGTCCCTTACTCATCTAGCTCATCCTTGAACTTTTTCATGATGGCCCCTTTTCAGCAGTTACAATTAGACAGCAATATCTATCAATTCCAGCTGTATCCATCTGGTTCATTTACCACACTCTGTACACCATGTTCCAGGAGCAGAAAGGCTCCAGATGTGAGGAAGGACCAAGCAGAACTTACAGCAGTATCAGCCTTTGGGTAAAGGGTGTTCCATGCCGAATCCGTTACCTCTGCGATTGCAAAGGGAGGAAACGTCCTGTGCAAGGCATGGGTTCTTAGACTCCTCTGCCCCCAAGGCTTCAGAATGACCCATGGCAGGGCCTGCCCGTTCTCTGGAGAGGAAAACAGACAATGTGATCTCATAGCCCAAGACAAGATAATGACATTAAGGAGCAGACTTGAGGCAAATAAGAGAAGGGGTAGCTCAGCTAGATGCCTTTTCTCTGGCGTTCTTCCCTGGGGACCTCTCAAGTCCCTGGAGATACCAATCTACGGCTGGAGACTGTCCATCCACAAATTATGTAATAGCTCTCCCAGAGGTCCAAAGGTCCCAGCATAGTTCAGGCTTTCTCAGAAGGAGGGAATATTTTACCAAAGATCAGGGCTAGTATTTTTTTTTTTACTGAACTCTCCATTCTGATCTGCTGCCAAGTGTTCTTAAGGTTCTTTGAATTGGTTTTTATGGTTGTTCCTTCCCACCCCACACCATTATTCCATCCCTAAGTACTTTCTGAGCAATGCAGTGTATAGCAGAGTACCACAGATGCAGATTTAAATGTTCGGAAACATTGAGTTGAACACATGGAATTAACAAGCTTCTCTCTCTCTCTCTCTCTCTCTCTCTCTCTCTCTCTCTCTCTCTCTCTCTTTCACACACACACACAGAGTGGGGTGTATATTTTAGAGATTGAAGTGAGAGAATAAGATCTACTTAAAAGCACAGCCATTGAGATAGATCAGTGGGTAAAGGCACTTGCTGGCACACCTGATGACGCCCCTCTCAGCACCCACTTCACAGAAAGAGACAACTGACTCTACACATGGGTGCTGCGGTATGAATGCAACACATACACACGCGAGCACGCGCGCGCACACACACACACACAATATAAATGTACATTTCTAATCAATGCCATGGTCTGAAAATGGTATGAGCTGGCTGCTGTTCACACCACTGGGTTGTAAACCAAGTGCCATCTGCTCTGCTGCACTTGTAGACAGAGCAGCAGTTCCCAAAGTATGGGTCCTGGACCTTCAGGACCTGTACCATCTGACACTTGAAATATAGACTCCTGGGCTCTGCCTCTGACCCACCAGCTCTGTAGCTCTGGGTTGGAGCCAGCTTGTTTTAACAAGCCCTTCAGGTGGGTCTAAGACACATAACTCCTAAGCAGCACTGCCAAAAAGGACCGGGGGTGACAAGAGGCAGAAAACAGCGGAGCAGCCATTCCACATGGCAGAGGGGAGCTTGCCCTGGGAAACAAAGCTACAGCTAAAATACCAAATACAGAACGAGTGGAACGAACAGCACTGGACCCTGGTCATGGAAGAAGGAACTCTAAAGGTGTGAAGAGGTGGTTAATAAGGAAAGGGGGTGGCAAGCCAGCATTATGAAAACCACAACTAGAGAAATAGCTGAAGGAAAATGTTCTCACCAACTGATAATCTTGGCTTGAACTGTCATTGGCTCTTAGAGTTTGCTTCAAGAAGAATCCTTGCCCTTAACTATCATGGGCAAAGTCCTGAGTTTGACCCATAACACTAAAGAAGAGGAAGAAGAGGAAGAGGAGGAAGAGGGTTAGGAGTCCTCAGAGGTCCTAGTCATTTTCTGTCACTATCATAGAACACCTGAGACTCATTGGTTTATAGAGGATCAAAATTTATTTAGTTTGTCATTCTGTAACCTGAAAAGTTCTGATAAGGGCTATCGCCACTTATCCTAAACTATATAATGCATTTGCAATTATCTGTGGGATAGTTGTATAATGTTAAGTGGAATTATGATCTAGTTACTGTTTTCATTTGGAAATTAAGCTTGATATAAGGGAATGTGATTGTGGGTAAAGTTGACAAGATGTGGGCTTGTGATGGGTAATCTTCGTTATCAACTTGATTATATCTGTAATCAACTAGAATCCAAGCGACTAAGTGCACCCGGGAAGGATTTTCTTGACTGGATCATCTGAGCCACACCTGGTGGCAGTCCACACAAAATGACACGGAAGAAGGAAGCATTTGCTTTTTGTCTGTTTGCCCTCACTTTGACTGCCAAGTTTATCTATTCTGTTCCTGGGGCATTCCTTTGCTTTGAACCCAGTTCTTCAGGATGCCAGTGTAGACTGAAGACCCGCAACTCTCTGGGACTTCCCTGGAACTCTCGCACTAGAATGGGATACTGAGACATCCAGTCTTTGTGGGCAAACAACTACCTTTCTGTCAGGAGACAGCCACTGATGACTACATTATAATTACTGCTAACCCATTCTCCATTCTAAAGCCTCTGGAGTGATCAGTCCTAAATGTCTCGTCTCTGTGTGTGCAATGAATGCGAAGAGCTGAAAGAATCCTAGAGGAGAATACTTCAAGGCTTAGATGTGAAACAGCTTGTTGATAACAGTCCCCTGTCTGAAAAGAGCAGAGAAAGCAGTGGTCACAAACAAACAAACAAAAAAACTGGCGGATAGACAGTTGTTGTATTACAAGCGGCGGGGCTGCGTCCCCAGCACCCCGGCCGCCTGGCTAGCTTATGCCCCGAAATAACAACACACAAACTATTCATTTAAGCACTGCTTGGACATTTCTATCTAGCCTCTTTTAGGCTAACTCTTGCACCTGGACTAGCCCATTTCTAATAATGTGTGTAAGCACCCCAAGGTGCGATTACCGGGAAGATTCTAGCCTACGTCCATCCTGGGTCGGAGCTTCATTGCGTGCGTCTGCCCGGGAGAGCGGAGCATGGCCTCTCTGCTCCAGAGAGCAGAGCTGTCGAGTCTGAGCTCACTTCCTCTTCCTCTCAGCATTCAGTTCTGTTTACTCCTCCCACCTATGTTTTAACCTATCAGGGCCAAGCAGTTTCTTTATTGCTTAACCAGTGAAATCAACAGATTGATATATGACACTCCCACATCACACAGTCAAGCCATTTCAAATTAAAATCACTTGAACTTAAGTAAAAAGTGTTCTAAAAGGAAGTTGGGCAACCACTGTGCTAACAGAGTCTAGGGGAGAGAAAGAGAGAAGAAAGTACAAGATGGGGCTGGAACAATAATGGCTCAGCAGGTAGCAGCACTTGTTGCTCTTGGAGTGGACCCTGGTTCAGTTCCCAGCATCCATGGAGTGGCTCACAACCATCTCTAACTCTAACTCCCAAGTTTCAGGGGATCCAACATCCTCTTCTGACCTTCATGGGCATAATGCACACATGTATTACACACAAAAACATTCAGGTAAAACACTTAAGCACAGAAACCTAAATAAATAAATCTAAAAAGAAAAACAGTACAAGAAATCAAACATATGGAGGTGGAGAAATGCCTCAGCGGTTAAGAACACTGGCTGCTTGTCTCTAGAACCTAGGTTTGATTCCAAGCTTCCACATAGTGGTTAAAAACCATTGTAGCTCCAATTCTAGGTGATCTGACAACCTTCTCTGGACTCCCTGGGCACCAAGGACACATGTGGTTCACATATATTCAGGCAAAACACCCATATACATAAAATAATTTTTTGAGACAGGGTTTTGTACATAGTCCTGGCTGTCCTGGAGCTTACTATGTGGACCAGGCTGGCCTCGAACTCAGAACTCCTTTTTCCTTCGCCTCCCAAGTGCTGTGATTAAAAAGAAGTCAAATGCAAGTATGAAATTCCCAACTAGAAATGGCCAACGTTTTGGACCCTCCAATTGTTTCTAGGACCAGATATCATCTTCTAAAACCTTCATTTCTACAACACAGAGCCCACCACCACCACCACAGCCAATTTTAGCAGGATCTTTGCAGTGTGAGTCCAGTTGCAGCTACCATGAGAGTAGACCCATCTGGAACTGTATCTTTGGAACAGTTCGTCGTGTTCCAGTTTCTTCTGAAAATGGACTGGCAATCAGAGTAGCTGACTATGCACACAGAAATAAAACAAACTGAACTAAATTTCAGGAGGTCTGACTCCAGCTTGTTATTGAAGAAAAGTGTTTATCCACCACTCTTTTTTTTATTATTTGTGTTTTTTTGTGTTTCTTTTTTATTTATATATTTATTTATTAAAGATTTCTGTCTCTTCCCCACCGCCGCCTCCCATTTCCCTCCCCCTCCCCCTCCCCCAATCAAGTCCCCCTCCCTCGTCAGCCCAAAGAGCAATCAGGGTTCCCTGCCCTGTGGGAAGTCCAAGGACCACCCACCTCCATCCAGGTCTAGTAAGGTGAGCATCCAAACTGCCTAGGCTCCCACAAAGCCAATACGTGCAGTAGAATCAAAAACCCACTGCCATTGTTCTTGAGTTCTCAGTAGTCCTCCTTGTCCTCTATGTTCAGCAAGACCGGTTTTATCCCGGGCTTTTTTCAGACCCAGGCCAGCTGGCCTTTATCCACCACTCTTTTGTTTGTTTGTTTGTTTGTTTGTTTGTTTGTTTTAGACAAGAGTTCAGTGTGTAGCCTTAGCTGGCCTTAAACTCACTTTGTAGACTAGATTGGCCTCAAACTCACAGAGCTCTGCCTGCCTCTGTCTCCTAAATTCTGCCTCTGTACTAAACCTACTCATTATTCTTTTAACCTGTACCTGAGCACCTAGTATTTCCAGGTACTAGGGATCAGGAATACAGTGTTGAGCAAAGTAGACTTAGCCTCCACCCTCACATAGCTCAGACTGTAGATGGTGAGATACGCACTAACTCTATAACATCAACATCCTAAGTGCAAACTGCCAAGGAAACTGTAGAGCGTGAAGAGAACGATCAAAGAACCTTAGGACGCAGGTCGCCAGCTAAGCAAATAAAGGCTTTTCTGGCAGGTAACAGGGCAGTTGGCAAGAAAGGGTGGTGGGAGGTAGTCAGCTGCGTGCGTGGTGCATTGTGAAGAAGGAGGGGCTATGGCGAGTGGCAAGGGGGGGAATCATCAAAGTGGGAGGCATTTGAAGGGCAGATAGGGCAGGGGCTGACGAACCTTATAGGCTTCTTCAGCATTTTGGGCTTTACTGTGAGAGTAGCCAGCTGCCTAGGAAGAGGAAAGTTGTTAAGGATGCACAGCTAACGATTAGGCTGGTTGCTTGCAGTGGGACACAGGGACACCAATTAGGAGACTCCTGCTATTGATCAAAAACAACCACGTGACATCCCTCAACCAATCTTGATCGAGAACAGAGAAAGATGTGTCAGTGACTAGCGGGTATCTAGCTGCGTGCACTGAGCAGCTGGCATTTAAAGGAGACTCCTGGAAGATTTCTGGATGATAGGTGTTCTTTCTCATCACATCTGTGTGCTTGGGGTCTTGCATCTATCCTATGGGCCCTGGGAGAAGCTCAACCCTAGCTACAAAGCTGTTTCTTGTGCTCCCATGAAGACCCCCACAAATACACCCAGTCTTCTCATCTCTCTCCCCTCTCATGCACTTTCCAGGTACCACATGTCCAACCCCCATATCTGTTGAGCATGCAGACATCCGGGTCAAGAACTACAGTGTGAACTCCAGGGAGAGGTATGTCTGCAATTCTGGTTTCAAACGGAAAGCCGGCACATCCACGCTGACCGAGTGTGTGATTAACAAGAACACAAACACTGCCCACTGGACAACTCCTAACCTCAAGTGCATCAGTAAGTAGCTGACCCCACACTGTTCCCCTGCCTCCTGCCAAGGCTGAACAGAGCAGAAGGCTGAAGGATGGGAGCTGTGGGAGGGAAAAAAAAAATCCGTGCTGGGGTCTGGGGCTAACTACGCCAGTGGGGCACGAAGCAACCCCTCCTGGGATAGGAAGGCATGGGCAATGGGCTCTGTCACCCAATCTTGGTTCATATATTAGTTCTGCCACTTAGCTACTTTGTGTCCTTGGGCAAATCCCTTAGCTTCTTGGAACTCTGCTTGGTGACCCAGAAAGTGACCGTGATGTCAACTGTGGTTTGTAGAGATAAGTGGAACCTGATAAATGTTAACTCTCATGTCCATCAGTGTTTGTTCTGGCAGAGGATGAGCTATGGTCTAGGGTGTGTGCTCAAGCTGCCCACAGAGCTTTATGGAGCTCTCGCAAGGCAGAGGGCTTCAGGAAAACATACAGTGTTCTTGTTTGCCAGAACCTGAAAGTTGAGTAAACCTACCAAACAGAAAATCCCTGTCTTACTCACCAGGGCAGTTGATGTTCTAGAGTGAAGATGAGGGCCGTGAAAACCAACTTTTTAAAAGACTCACCCACAGTTGGATGAAAGCCAACATTCTTGGAGTAGATGCCACTTGGTGGTGTTTCCAGGAATACTAAGCCCCATTCTGCTCCCTAAAAAAAATAAATAAGTAAAAACTGATCCATAGTCTACCAGGAGAGAACTGTTCAAACAGGCAGCCACTGCATATCCAGGACATGGATAGCCCCAGCTAGTGCCAGTCATTCGGAACTTACATGGAAATGCCCAGCTCCATCTTCTGGGAACTCCCGGGAGGGTTGGTACCACATATATCATTCCATGCAAGAACCACTTGATGACTGACCTGTGGAAAATTCTAGAAAATCAGTTTACAGTCTGTGCGTTTAGGTTGGGAGACCGATATTCACTTCCTGTACTTCTAGCCTTGTCCAAGGAAGCCAAAAATGGATGTGCACCTGTAGCACAATTAATAAAAACCTAGAGATAGATATTGGGGTTCAACATAAAGGTCAGAAAATCAAAACAGCCAACCACTGGCTCTTTTCTCTACCTCAGTCTGAAATGGCAATCCTGCCTCCAGGAATCCTCAGAATGAGATTGTGTGTGAGAGCTGTCTCCTCCCATCTTATATTCCTCTCTAGGGCTGGGATTCAAGGCGTGCACCACTACCGCCTGGTTTCTATGGCAAACTAGTGTGGTTATTGGGATTAAAGGTGTGTGTCACCACTCTGATCTGTAAGGCTGATCGGTGGGTCTGGTTTGTTTTTCTGACCTTCAGGCAAGCTTTATTTATTAAAATACAAATGAAATATCGCTACATGCACTGGTGTATTGATTATTTTTATTTGTAACTAGTTCTTAAACCGCCCCAGATTCTGCCCTCAAAATCATAAATGCCATGTGACTGTCCTCTCTCTAGGAGACCCCTCCCTGGCTCACCAGAGTCCAGTGCTACCTTCCACAGTAGTGACGCCAAAGGTGACCCCACAGCCAGAGAGCCCCTCCCCTCCCGAAAAAGGTAGGAATACTGGGAAAATATAAAGAACTCCCATGTAGGATCCATTTCCCTCTCATAGATACCATGACCCCCTGCTGATGATCGCTGCAAACCCAGGCAACAGAACTTTATGTTGACATCAAGATTCAGAACTTTTAGTGGTTTAGGTTTTTCACAGTTATTTGATATCCAGAATTCACATGTACATGATTCATAGTGGCTTAGAATCTACCATTAACACATTAGACCATGTGGAATGGAGTTAGCTGGAAAAGTACATGATTCATAGTGGCTTGCCATTAACATATTAAACCATAGTTAACTGGAGACATTAGCTGTAGACACCCTTATCAAGAGTTTCTCTGTGTAGCCTTGGCTGTCCTGGAACTCAGAGATCTACCTGCCTCTGCCTCCCGAGTGCTGGGATTAAAGGCGGGCACCACCATCGCCTCTTCTCACTTGTTTCTTAACCTGTATCAACATTGTTAAAGGGCTTTCCCATGTGGCCCAGTGAAGCAGAAATATCAACTCATCATCTCTCAGGCCCATGGGGCAGCAGGCTAAGCCAGAATACACCCTGTATGTATAGCAGGCTGCACTGGGCCAAGGAAGCCTGGGCTCATAGCACCTGAATGTGTAATGAATGATTGGCAACAAACATGTCTTGTCTTTGCTCCAGAGGTAGGTTCTGTCTATCTTCCCGAGCACTTGCTATTATACAGGTCCTTGGCAAGGCAGTCCAGAGAAAGGGGGAAGATGGGCCCTCCCTTGGCAAACAATGTGAGGGACTCATTGAAGACTTTTGCTTTGGCTGAGGTGGGGGTGGGGTGGAGGACATGGGGTGGGTTGGGGCAGGTTTCACTTTGTAGTTCTGACTGTCCCAGAACTCACTATATAGACCCGGGTGGCCTCAAAATCACAGGGATATGCCTACTTCTGTCTTTTGAGTGCTAGGATTAAAGGCGTGTGCCACTGCCATCAGCTTCATTAGTGATGTAATTTGGATGTTTGTTCTAGTTTCTTTTCTATTGCTGGGTTAAAAATTCCTAACAAAAAGCAACTTAGGGAACAAAGAGTTTCTTTTAGCTTACAGGTTATGGCCATCACTGGGCAAGTCCCGGTGGCAGGAGCCGGAAGCAGGCAGTCACATCACATCCACAGTCAAGAGCAGAGAGACGGGAATACACGCGTGTTCACTGGCATGTGCTCTGTTCAACGCCTCCACTCTTAAGACAGTACATTCCTATGGAAAGGAGCTGCCCACGGTGGGATGAGTCTTCCCACTTCAATTAAGTTAATCAAGGCAACTCCCGACAGACATGCTCACAAGCCAACCCGGTGTAGACCATTCCTCACAGAGATACCCTTTCCTCGTGTCAAGTTATAGCTAACCATCATAATACAGAAATATCGCATGAACGTCACCCCTCTCTCCATCCCTGCCTTCCTTCTTTCTTCCTTCCTTTCTGGCGGGGTCTCACTATACATCCTCGGCTGACTGCAAACTCACAGGCATCCTGCCTTAGCCTTCAGAGGACTCGGTTTATAGGCCTGTGCCGCTGAACCCAACTCAGCGTTTTGTATTTCACTTGAGTGTTATGCGAATCTAGTTTAACGTCCTCAGCATTTGTCTCATTGCTAAGAACGTTTGAAACCTATGCTCTCCATCTTTCTAGACTCTCATTTTCTAATAAGCTTTACTGTCACATCATCCAGCTTGTGGTTTCCCCTCGTTTCCTCCTTCCACTCCCAATTATGGCAATCTCTGTTTTCAATCATCCTGAATTGCTCAATTGGTCACAACTTCCAGTGTGCTGGGTCTCAAGCCTTCTGATACACAAGGAACTTGCTGAAGAACTCCAGTTGGTCTGGGGACAGATATGAGAATCGACAGCTTTGGATACTTCCCGGATGGTTCTTAGGCATCCCAGGGTGGGGACTCCTCTCCTAAGGAGGAGAGAGAGGATTCTGAATTGCATGCCACTGTGTAGTGAATAGGGCTGGGGCTGTAACTCATTGGTGGAATGCTTGCCTAGCGTGCATAAGGCTATAGGTTCAACTTCCAGTACTATTAGGGAAAAAAACAATAAAATAAGATAAAGGAGTATCTTCTGGTGAATTCTGTAAACAGAAGAAAGTGGTAGGTACTTGACCCATTTAAGATAGAAGTGTTTCCCAAGTTCCTTTGGTATGACTCACACAGTATTTACTCAAGAGACAAGAAAGATCAACTAGTCTCTCTCAGCCTTGTCTCTGTGTCCCAAATGCTTGGTCAGATGTTCCTCATTGAGACAAAAATGTGCAGGCACAGCCTTGGACACTAACTGGTCATGGGTGATGGGTGTGAATGCTCTGTAAGGCTGGTAGTTTGCAGACGGAGGGATACATCTCAGTAATACCAGTGGACTGAAGGGTGCGGGCACATCTCACATGGTGGATGGCTAAGAGAGCTTGGGGCCAGGGCACCACACCATGCCTCGGAGCACCAAGATGTCCCGCCTCCCAGCATGCTTTCCTTAGCCTGCATTTCCCAGGCTTGCCACAGTGGAAGACCCATTTTCACCTGGAAGGGAACAGAGACTAGGGAACAGGTTGGCCACTTTAGAGTTTAGGAACATCCATCTACCAGTGACGAACAAGGAAGACAGGAACTAAAACACAGGCATCCTCCATGCCAGCAGGAACAAAATCAGAATCCTCTCCTCAGAATCTGCCTAGGGCATTCTGGAGAGCTGGATGTAAGCTTCCTCTTATTTCAAAATGTCAGGACAAAGTGTGAAAGCAAGTCAGGGTACACACCTTTAATCCCAACATTCAGAGATGAGGCAGAGGCAGGGAGCTCTCTATGAGTTTGAGGTTAGCCTGGTCTACACAAGTTCCAGGCCAGCCAGGGATACATGCCAGATCCTGTCTCAAGAAAGAACAAAACTGAAAAGGAAAACTAGCATCTCAGCTGTCTTTCACAAATACAGCACAGTTCCACTTGTGTTTTGGCATCAAGTCTTTGAGAATATAACACACTTTCTCCAGCAAGCAGGCCGATCTGCTCAATCTCTTGGGGATTTTGTTTTGTTTTGAATGCTCGTAATAGATGACTATAGTCTTTAGAGTTATCAGAAGCCCCATAGAACAGTGAGTGGATAGCTATGCCACCTACTTAGGAGTAGGCTGGCCAAGACAGGCTCCCTAAAGTGGGACCTTGGGTTCCAGACACTAGTCTGAATTTTTATGTCTCTGTCTTGGAATTTCCTGCAGAGCCCGAAGCTGTATCTCCCAAATCAGATACCACATTGACCACCCAGACAGCTATTGTGCCAGGCTCCGGGCTGACACCATCCCAACCAGCTTCTGCAGGAACTACAGGGACAGGCAGTCATGAGTCCTCCCGAGCCCCATCTCTTGCAACAACAACGACCTTGGAGCCTACTGCTTCCCCTTCCCTCGGGATACCAGGTCAGCCCTAGCTTTGAACAAGGACAGGTCTGCTTCTGAGACCTAGATTGGGATCTTGCAGGAGGGTTGTCTGCATTAGCTTTGGACCACTAGGGCTCAAGTCAGAACTGACTGAGTGTCCCAGTCGCCTGCTGCCCACTATCATGCTTGAATGGTGTGTGCAGTCCGCACTGTAAGGATAGCCAGGAAGGAAACCCCACTTCTCAGATAGGACACGGCTTGCTGATGAGCACGTCAGAGAACGGAAAGAGCATTTGACAGTGTGGAGCTGTGGTCTGCGGGTAGAGAAGCCACTGGCAATTGTTCCTGTTAATGTTCAGGCATCTGTACTGGCCTGCTCTTGGGGTCCTGACAGGATACGTCCATAGCTGCAGCCACTAAGAGCACTTCCCGTGCACATTCGCTATGTTCCCTTTTAAAAGGCGGGCCACGTCCCATCTCTTTCTCTTTCTGTTTTCTTCTTCCTCTCTCTCTCTCTCTCTCTCTCTCTCTCTCTCTCTCTCTCTCTCTCTCTCTCTCTCTCTCTCTCCTGCCACTCTTATCCCCAGGGACTGGTCTCTGCCCCCCTCTGTTCCCCTCTCTGCCTTTTTTGTCCCCTTCTCGCTCCTCTTCTAATCAACCTCCATGTGAGCCCTGTTGTATGGCATAACTCTCTTTCCTCGCCGTTTTGTTGTTGTTGTTTTGTTTTGTTTAATTACAACAGTTCCTCTCTGAGGCACAGCCAATGTTTAGGTGTAACCAAGCACCTCACCAAATTATCCTGTTCACTTTTGCTAAGACCACTTAGGTTATGTCCATGTCTCTTACGGTTCTAAGATGGTAGCTAATCTCAACCTAGCGCTCTTGGGACTCCAATCCTGACTCAGCTTTCCTCTCTCCTCTGCAGAGATTTCTCCAAACACCTCCAAAGTGACCAAAGGTGAGTATTTTCTTTTGTCTGATGTGTTTATAACCAGGGACTATAAAAACAGACGCAGCGTGTTCATCAGCCTGGTCCAGGCCACTCTGGCACAGCCGGCAGCAGGATTCCTTAGGTCACCATCAGAGAATAACTTGGTAAAACCCTATTTATGGAGTTTGTCATTGGACGTGATTACTTATCTTAAGATCGGCAGCTTCTAACTGTCACACTTGCGATGTACAAATCAGGGAATTAGCACACCACAAAACAGCTTGATGGAGCAGCTACTCACAGGTCAGCCCCACCAAGAGGCTCCACCTAGATCCAGAGCATGTTAGGAAAAGCAGGAGCCAGGGCTGCCACTAAGAGAATGCCATTCTGCTAGGAGAGAGAGAGAGAGAGAGAGAGAGAGAGAGAGAGAGAGAGAGAGAGAGAATGACAGAGAGAGGGAGAGGGAGAGGGAGGGAAGGAAGGGAGGGAGGGAGGGAAGGTGGGAGGGAAGAAGGGAGAGAGAGAAGAAAGGAGTGAGAGAGAGAGAGAAGGAGGGAGAGAGAGGAGAGAATTCAGACTGCTCTGTCTAAATGTCTTTGTTGATGAAAGACCTGGAGCACTACAGTTAGAAGAAAAAGAAAGAGGTTATGCAATCAGTGCAGGAGGAAAACAGAAATGTGTTTGTGAAAAGGAGGAAGAGAGATCTTGAAGAAGAACTCTTGAAGAAGAACGAAGAGAGCAGGAGAGAAGGGAGGGCAGGGGTGCAGTTCTGACCGTGAGCTCACTTGTCAAGGCCAAGGCCCAGCTTGCTCTCCAGTACCATAAAAAAGGGTGTGGGGTGCAGAGAGTAGGAACCTTATACTTTAGTCTGACAAGCTCTAGAAGGAAAAGAAGGCCCTAGAGGGATGGTTCAGTGGTAAAGTGCTCTTGCAGAGGGCCAGAGTTCAGTTCCCATCACCCCAGATGGGTAGCTCACAACCACTTGTAACTCCAGCTCCAGGGGATACAACATCCTTTTCTGGCCTGTGGGCACCTGCATACAAGTGTATTGTACACACACACACACACTCACACACACACAAATAAATGTTTTTTAAAGGGATAAAATATTCTATCTCTTTTCTTTCTCTTTTTCTTTTTCTTTTTTTTTTGGCTTTTTGTTTGTTTTTTTGTTTTTGTTTTTGTTTTTGTTTTTGTTTTTGTTTTTGTTTTTGAAACAGGGTTTCTCCATGTCACAGCCCTGGCTGTCCTGGAACTCACAGAGATCCACCAGCCTCTGCCTCCCAAGTGCAGGGATGAAAGGTGTGTGCCAACACTGCCCGGCTCTATTTTCTATTCATAAGTTTTCCTGCTGGAGAATGACTCACTGGCTTTTGATCCTGTTTACCTGCACTAAGTGACATCAGGGAATCAGATGTCGCTTTAGATATATTAGCAGTTTATTGGTTACAGTGGTTTTGTAAATGATCAAATGAAAACAGGCCTGGTGGTAAAGGTCTGTATTTTCAGCTACTTGGAAAGCTGAGGCAGGAGGATTGCAGGATCAAGGTCAGCCTGGACAACTCAGTGAAATCCTATAGCAAAATTAAATGTATAAAGAGGACTGGGGATATAACAGTGCATTGGTAGAGTTCTTGCTCAATCCCCAGCTCTGCAAAAAGGAAAAAAGGAGATAGAAAGAGAGTAGATAGATAGGCAGATGGATAGATGGGTGGATAGATAGATAGATGATAGATAGACAGACAGACAGACAGACGACAGATAGATAGATAGATGAAAACAATACATTTAGGAAGGTTCTTTGAAGAATAATTTCTTGAAAAACTCACTTAATGACAAGGGCATATAAACAAAAACATACTCATGATCTAAGAGAACAACATATAAGAATTAGGCAAGCTGTTTTTTCTCTATGACACATAGCACATTAATCTTTCCTCATAGTTTTTAATGTTTTGTTTCTCAAATACTTAATGATTTGCACATGGCCTGAAAATCAAAAATTAAATAGCATAGAGGCATATGTCCAGAAGGCTAAGGCAGGAGGATTACTTTGAGTTTAAGATCTGCCTGGGTTACATAGTGAGTATCAAGGCCATTGTGTTACATAGCAACACCACACCTCAAGAAATTTAAAAAAAAATCAAAAGTCAGCATGGAATGAACAGAATGAAAGTTTGCCTCTGACTTGCGCTTCTGGAGACAGAGAGCAAGTGTCTTTGCCTCCTTCTGGTTGGCTGTGGAAACACAAGCGCATGCAGAGAAAGTCTCAGAATAGCTATTTTGTGTCTCTTCACTGACCTGCTGGCCTGATTTCCTTTCTGTTGCTGTGATAAAACACTAGAATCAAAACACCTTGGGGAGGAAAGGGCTTATTGACTTAGACATCCAGGTCACAGTCCATCCCTGAGGGAAGTCTGGCGGAAACTCCAGCAGGAGCTTGAAGCAGAAGCCAAGGAGGAGTGCTGCGTGCTCAGTCACTCTTTGGCTCTGCTCAGCCAGCTTTCTGATATAGCCAGGACGACCTGGCCAGGGGATGGGGCTTTCCAAGCGGGCTGGACACGCTAAATCAGTTAACGATCAAAGAGATCCCCCAGACACGCAAACCGGCCAACCTGATCTAGAGAATTTCTCAATTGCGACTTCTCCTCTCAGATGACTCTAGGCTGGATCAAGTTGACAATGAGCGTTCCCCAGGGCACTGACATATCTTAGCAATCCTCCATATCCACACATGAAAGCCACCTTACTCTCTTTAATGGCTACAGCATATTCTACCCCCATATAGACCTAAGCACAATTTACTTAGCCAATCTCAGCTTTGGACATACTATTATTTACTGTCTTAAGTTATATTACCAACAGTGACTACTTGGAAACTCTGGTGCAATCCTACTTAGTGGGTGACAATCTATTTGTAAAATTTTCTATATAGGGCCTCAGACAATTTAGGATCTAATACTTACTTTTCCAGTGCATGGCTTTTGTGACAAAGATAATTCTGTGCAAGGGATTGTGGGAAGCATAAAGGATTTTAAATTTCAAAAATTGCTTTATGTATAAATAAGGTGTTCTTCCTTGAATATAGACATGAAGATACCTAATTATGACAGAAGTCAAATTGTTAGCAAAAGAAATGAAAAGGCGACATTGGAAGTTTTTATTGTCTGTTAATAAAGTGTAAATTGAAATTATAACCGGTCTAGTTTTGTAAAAGTGTTTGTGACAGTGTCGTTCGAAGTTTGCCACTTACGTGCCATCAGACCCAGCCACCCAAGATCTGCAAGGACCCCACCAACAGTTGCATACTGTAGATGTTCAGTTGCTCCTCGGGCCCGGGGTGAGGCAATCAGCTGAGCATGTCTCTGTAAGGCAATATTAACAACATTCAACCACAGTCATTGCTTGGTCAGTTAACGGATAATCAATCTTCTGATATTTTGTTTTATTGTTTTTGTAGTTTTATGATAAGGATGGAACAAAGGGCATGCCAGACAAGTGCTCTTCACTGAGCTATATCCTCAGTCTATAATGTTTAAAATGAGTTATACACATGGTTCTCACTTTTATTTTCTTTTAAAAATGTTTGTGTTTGTGTTATGTATGTATGTACCTGCATAGATGTGTGGAAGAGCACTTGGTGCATACAGGGACCTGCAGAGGTCAAAAGAGGGCATCAGATTCCCCCTGGAGTGGATTTTAAAAGATATGGGGGTTGGGAAGATGACTCAACGGGTAAAGGCAATTGCCTTGCAAGTGTGAGCACCTGAACTGCTATGTGGGGTCTATGAACTGGACCCGGATCCTTGCAAGAGCAGTATGTACTCTCACCCACTCAGCCATCTCTCCAACTCCGGTTATCACTATTTTTTAAAGTTGTTCTTAAATTTGCTTGTTTGTTTTTTGAGACAGGGTTTCTCTGTCTAGTCCTGGCTGTCCTGGAACTTACTCTGTAGACCAGGCTGGCCTCAAACTTACATAGATCCACCTACCTCTGCCCACAAGTGCTGGGATTAAAGGCGTGCGCCACCACTGCCAGGTTAAAAGCTGTTCCTTTTCATTCAATAGAAAGCAGTCAATAGCTGATGCTCAGTAAATACTGAACGAGTTAGTAAACGAGCACCAGAACTTAAAGACTTTAGCATTTTAATAGGGATAAAATATTTTCTATTTTCACTATCTTGATTATCAACTGGTTCACTTAACAGCCTTTCCTGCCAGGAACTTATTCAGTTATCCCAGTATCTTCTCTCTGATCTTCAGCTAGGCTCCTACTGAAGACTCCTGAATTTATTTTTAAAAATCTTCATTAGTGTGTGTGTGTGTGTGTGTGTGTGTGTGTGTGTCACTTGTAGGAGTGGGTTCTCTCCTTCCACCACGTGGTTTCCAGGGATTGAACACAGGCTGTCGGGCTCGGGGGCAGGTACCTTTACCCAGTGAGCTAGTTTACCAGCCCAAGACTGCTGATTTCAAAATCCAAGCCTAGCGTGCCCACTGCAATAGCACATACGCTGCTGAACTAGTTCACGAGGATGAAAAAGATCTTTTCCAGAATGGTGCTGTGCCTTGCGTCTCGTCCACATGTGATGTGAGTCTGTTGTAGTCGATGTGCTCTGCATTTGATGGGGACTGCCCCCGCCATGTCTGTCATTCATCTGTGGTCCAAGCACACCCATGTCCATACAAAATGTTCATACAAAAGATGCTTTTCCTTCAGCACCCGATGCAGACTCACAGTTTCTCTGTTTCTCTGCAGGGCTGGCTGGTTTGCCTGGGTCCTGCTAGGAAATCTGTTCTCTCTGTCTTCACACACAGAAACTTCATCCTCCCCCACAGACACTGGCTCTGGCTGGCTCTGGCTGGCTCTGCTGCCTGCTCCATTCTAGTCTCAAGAGGAAAGGGGGCAGTGGCTCTGGCGGCCTCCCGTCCCAAAGTCATCTGCTCTGCTCCATCATTCCTTCCTCCCTTCTCCTTCCTCATATCAAATCCATGTCTTTCTTTTCACTCCAGAAAGGGTGGAAAGCTTGCCAGATGATTTGCTAATTCCTTGTCTTTGGAAGTCTGGTTTCAATTTCTTGTCCAACATGGCATGGTGATAGTTGAAAAGGAAACTGGAGTTAAGTCACCAGTTTTGTCAGATCACATCCAAACCTGATGATTCTGCAGTAGCTTGTTCTCATTCAAAAGGCATCAGGAAGAGCACTGTGAAAGTAAAACTAGCTCTTACTACCACTAATTCCTCTTTTCCAGTAAGTCACTCCTTGGCAGTAAATGGTTGCTAATCCTACCAGCCAGTGTGGAGACAGTTTATGTGCAACACACACACACACACACATACACACACACACACACACACACTCCAATCTGAGGCTCAAGACATCTTTCATTAATTGATCGTGTTTCCTAACGTTTTTGTAACAAAGTTGCCATGCTGGCTTTATTTACTCCCTGTACAGATGTCTTCTATCTGTGATTTTGCTACGTCTTCAGACTACAGTGTCATTCCAAAACTCTGAGGGCAACAAAAAAAGAAATAATCCTAGTGAAAGGAGAGATTATCCACAGTCTGGTCATGACTTGATACTTTGTACCCAGCAGCCATTAGACTCTAGAGTTCTCTGTGTGCCTTTGAAATGACTTTGAGTGTATTTTCAGCCAGCTTTCCCTATAGTTTAGACTTTATAGATTTATTTTGATCGTTTCTAATGATATGGAGGGGAGCATGTGCACGTGAGTGCAGGTGCCTGCAGAAGCCAGAAGAGGGCCTTGAATCCCCTCGAGCTGGGGTTACAGGCAGATGTGAGCAGCCTGGTGTGGTTGGTAGGAGCCAAACTTCTTCTGTAAAAGCAGTATGTGCTCTTGATTGCTGAGCTTCCCTCGGCCCCAAGAAATGTTAATAATGGCAAGTGGGCTAGCAGGGCATCTGTCCTAGACAAGAATGGAAATTGCCAACAGTTTACTGATTCTTGAAAACAAATGCCTTGGTAGGATTTCAAGTGGTTCTAGCTCAGTTCTGTTCTTTTTCAGTGGCCGTCTCCACATTGGTCCTGGTCCTCCTGGTTGGTGCAGGACTTGTGGTTTTTCTCGCCAGGTACATCAGATCAAGGTGAGTGGCCCCGGACTGCAGGACCAAATTCTTCCTTTCCACCAGAAAAGCTTGACCATAAAGATTCCAAGAGGCCCTCTCAAAAGATGAGTCCCTTTCCTGACTATAAACCCTAAGCCCCTTCTGCAGCAGCTAGAAGGAGCCGTGTAAGACCGGACTGGCCCCACAGAGGGCCGTTCACTTCTCACACAGCTCTCAGACCATGTGTTTAAAATGGGGTCAGCAGGAACTGAGCGGGGCGGGGAGAGATATACCAAAGGCAGTTTGTATCAGCTCCTTTTGTGCATACTCATGAATATATATTCTGCATGTACTCACTTCTCATGGTATACCTCCTTATAAACATGGTCATGCCAGCCTCAATTCGTATTTCTAATAACAGAAATTCTACACTGCAGCCTTTGAGATGTGTTCCTTTTCCTTGCTGGTATTCCAGTTTTATATTTTTCATCTTGGCATTGACCTTGCGCTCCTGTCATTGAGTAACCAGCTGACATGGTTTGTTCCATCCAGTACAGGTCTCTAGCTCTGCCTCCACATGATTACATGGTGACTATCTTGAAACAGAGCATGCAATCGGTAGGGATAAAATGATAGCTAGCATATCAATACAAAATTATACAACTTGGGCTGGAGACATAGTCAGTCGGTAAAACACTTGCCTAGCAGGTGCGAAGCCCTGGATTTGATCACCAGAATTTTTTTAAAAAATAAAAATCACATGACTGTTTGAGCCTGGTTTTGATAAAAGGGAGATTCTCTGAGACACTGCAATGAATCCAGAGGAAAGATAGCAACCAAAACTTTACGTAAGACTTGACAGTTATTGGTAGAGGATCAATAGATACAAATATCATAAGCTCCAGAAGTAATTCCTAAATAATTTTTTAAAATATAAAAATGCTACCTGATGAGAAAAATAGAAAGTTATTTTAAAGGATTTTCGAAATATTTCTATAACTGAGTAATTTTAACCTAATATCTTAAATTTAGAGTTATATTCTTGAGAGATAATAATTACTTAATATGTCCAGAAATGTACATACTATGTTTTTAATGAATAAGCATTATATTCTTAAATAAATTGGTATATTTGATATATATAGCCTATAAATAGTATAACAAAATATCAGCATTAGTAACAATATTTTAAAATGCATCTAGGTGCATTTTAAAAGCAGTAATTATATTGACTTTGTCACCTAGTGAACCAATTTTTTCCATGAACTGATTTTTTTTTTTTTTTTTTTTACAAACTGGCTGATGGGTAGATTTGCCATTCAACAAATCGGCTTTTAGTAAGCTGACCTAGATTTCTTGATTTCTAGTTTCTGTCTCACACAAAACCGCCTATTTAGTTATGGCTTGAAAAGCTGTTTATCTTTAGAAGACATTATAAGAACCATGGAAGACAATACTGACCTAGGTACTTAAGGCCTAAAACTCAAGGGACCGCTAAGACAAGTAGACACACAGACTACAGAGCCTCTCTCTGCTCTTGCTAGCCACGAGCTCAACTGTATTTGTTTGTTTTTGTTTGCTTGCTTGCTTGCTTTGTTTGTTTGTTTTTTGAGACAGGATTTATCTATGTAACAGCTCTAACTGTCCTAGAACTCACTCTGTAGACCAGGCTGGCCTTGAACTCATAGAGAATCCGCCTGCCTCTGCTGCGATTAAAGGCATATGCCACCACTGCCTGGCTCTTTATTTCTTTTCTTTTTTTTTTTCTCAACTGTATTTGTTTAATGGTAAATATTAAGAACTGCTTTTAAGGCCTTGTGAATATCCAGCTATTTTCAGCTATGTCATCAGGTCTGGTCTAGCCAAGGTCCGGGTCTTCTGTCCCCCTACCGTGCTCTCTGTGCTGGGTTTTAGCAGAGGATTGGCGGCGTTGGGTATGAGGATGGCGTGCCGTGATTTGTTCCAACCACACTGGTAAACCTCTGGTGGATGGAGGGTGAGATTGAAAATTCCCAAATAGGATTAAGTTCTTGCTATCTGCACATCTGGGCATTCTAAATTTTCCTAATCTCTAAGCAACACAAATCTCTGAGAACCAGGTTGGTGTACTCTAATGTAACCCACTCAGTACGGGGCATGCATGTTCATTAAGAAGTATGTTAACCCAAGAGCCACCCTGACCTCTTTTCAAAACCTGTGAATAAACTATTTTACAGGCAAGCTTCTCAGCCACGTGATGTTGCAATGGAAACCATGGAATCAGTGCCAATGACTGAGCATCAGCAACACAATGAGGACGACACAGGAGCCTAACCTCACAACCACCGAAACGCAAGGAAACCCGCCCAGCTGAGTCTAATGAGAAGATGTAAAGGCAGCTCTGTGTTAGCTAAGGAATACCAGGACACAGGGAGCTGGGCACCGGGAGGAAGTGCACCGTGGTAATACAAGGTCTCCGGAACGAGCCGCTTTACTGCGTCTGGATGTCTCCCACGTACACACCTGGGGTCTCTGGCATCTGGAAGGACACCACCCTTCTACCTGGCTCAGCAGAGAGGCCGGCTTCCTACAGTGCCAGCAGCTTGAACTCTCCTGGGAGACTCTCATGGGTCTCCATAAAAGCCTCTGCTGTCACTCAGACATCGACTCAAAATAGCTTATTAGCTAGGCCAGTGGTTCTCAATCTATGGGTCGTGACCCCTTTGGGGGGGAGGGGCATCAAACAACCCTTTCACAGGGGTCACATATCAGACGTCCTGCGTATCAGATATTTATATTATGATTCATAACAGTAGCAAGATTACAGTTATGAAGTTGTAACAAACAATTTTATGGTTGGGGGGGGTCACCATAACATGAGGAATTACATTAGAGGGACACAGCTTTTGGAAGGTTGAGAGCCGCTGTGCTAGACTCTCTTTTCTGTCCCCTACCCTGATTTACAGTTTACAGAGCTCAGCCATACACCAGAGGCTCCCACTCCACTCCAAGGCTCCCCTGGCACAGAGGAGTCTTGTCAAGAAGCCAGCAGCACTTGAAAAAGAGGAGAGGAAGGCAGAAAAGATATTGAGCCAATGAATCCTTTGCATAGGATTTATGACAAAAACGGAACTCAGTGACTTTTTACATATATATGTGTGTGTTTATATTTATGCTTCCTTTTCTATTATATCTACATGTAATGTGTGATTTATATTTGAAGGTGCCTTGTATAGACAAAATAAAATATCTATTTTCAGTACAAAAACACATTAAAATTATCAACAAAGAGAAATGTTCCACAAAAGAAAAGAGGAGAAAGAGGAGTAATAAGATATCAAATGGGATTAAACTCAGGTTTTCTTTCAAAAGAAAAGGAGAGAGAGAGAGAGAGAGAGAGAGAGAGAGAGAGAGAGAGAGAGACAGAAATGGGGAGAGCCTTTGCTTAGAGCTGACACAGATCAATAGCATTGCAGGATTTCTAAGCAAATCTCACGGTGAGTAGAATCAATATAAACAAGTCCGAGCTCAACTAGCACAGGATACTGCATATTCCTGCTCTCCCCTCTCTTCATCTATTTATTATTTTTATTAATTAGTAGTATTATTATGAATCTATTGCAGAGCAACGGATAAAAAGAGGGCCTTGTCCTTGGTAGGCAAGTACTCTACCACTGAGTCATATCCCCAATTTCCTAACTCCTAAATTTGCAGATAAAAAAAAATATTGTAGCCTGGAGAAATTGACCTGCCCAAAGTCACTTAGTTCAGCTACTGCCACCGCTTGGACAGAACTGGGGTGGGAAATGGATGGGAGAGGAGGCCTGGTTGTGAGGCAGCCGCTAACTGGGCCCCCTCCATCCCTCGGTAAAGGGGAACCATCAGAAACATTCAGGAGGTGAGTTAGGCACCGGCCTCACAAGCTGCCAGTCCTCACTGACTTTTGCCACTCATCAATTTATATGATTTTCTTCATCAAAGGAAGCTTTGCCCCATTGCTCACTTGGGCTTCCTCATTGCACAGTGATCTCTGTCTAGTCAGGCTGTTTACATGGTGACCAAAACGAAACTGTCAGGCCCTTCAAGGAGGTAGGCCAGAAACAGACCTGTTTAACTTTTGCTACCTATCCATGACCTTTGCTATGTATTGGTCAAAGCAAATCACAAACCAGCCCAGATTCAAGGGCAAGGAAGTGACAAACAGGAAAGAAAGCATCCACAGAATCTATCTTTGGTAGCCAGGTGCCATATTTTTGAAGACACTCAGGGAGGTATAATTTTCCTTGAGTTCTCAGCTCTCAGTCAATGCCAATAAATACAAGAGGAATGGATGAGATTATAAGATCTGGTATTACGCTAAGCATTGAGACATCCATTTTTTTTTTGTTTGCTTGGTTTTGTTTGTTTTTGTTTTGTTTGTTTGTTTGTTTGTTTTTGAGGCAGGGTGTTGAATTAGGAGGGGCGGGGCTGCGTCCCCAGCACCCCGCCGCCCGCATGGCTAGCTTATGCCCGAAATAATTACACGGAAACTGTATTCTTTCAAACACTGCCTGGCCCGGCTAGGTCCAGTTTCTTATTGGCTAGCTCTTACATATTGTTCTAACCCATTTCTAATATTCTGTGTAGCCCATGAGCTGGCTTACCAGAGAGGATCTTAACCTGCGTCTGTCTGGAGTGGGAGCATCATGGCGACTCACTCACTCAGCTTCTTTTTCCCAGCATTCTCCTCTGTCTACTCCGCCTACCTAATTTTCTGTCCTATGAGGGCCGAGGCAGTTTCTTTATTATTACAAGACCCACCTCCATCAGCAGGGTTTCTCGGTGTAGCTTTGGCTGTCCTGGAGCTCCCTCTGTAGACCAGGCTGGTCTTGAACGCTCCAAGATTCACCTGCCTCTGCCTCCCAAGTGCTGGGATTAAAGACGTGCGCCACCGCTGCCCAACTGAGATGTTCACTTTTAATATTTAGTTTGGAATGGAAAGGTAGACAGAACTCTGAAGGACTTGAAAATTGTATAGCTATTATACAACCTTCACCCCGGGTGACCTTCGCTGGCTACAGATCTAATTTACAGTTCCCTTTTCCCACATTACTTGCTCTCCACTGTATTAGCCATAAAAAAAAAAAAAACCACATTGATGTTTGACAGTACACGGGATGCCTTTCCTGCCACACCTCTCGCTGAGCGTGGACCCACCAACTAGCTCTTCCCTTCTTCACATGGCCCTATGCCCGCAGGAAGTAGCCAGACTTGAGTCAATGCCCCTTTTTCCTAAGAGAGCCTAAATGTTAGTCAAAATATCACCTCAGCTTCCTCTTACCCCTTATACAAACAGTCTGGAATGTAAGCTCCGGTCTCTGGTCTCCATCTTTGGAGGCCCCCGTTCCTGTACCTGCCAAGTCTTGACCCTCCTCCTTGGAGGAGAAAGTTTCCTCTTGATCTCTTTTCCTTCCCCCTGGTGGTCGCGTTAGCCACCTCCCGGTTCCCCCTCTGGGACACCTGAGAGCACAGGAATCCCATTAAAACTGGATATTTTTTAATTTGGCTTGTTGTGATTTGGCTTAATTGGGATTTTGCTTGCGTTAGGAAAAAATCCTAACAACAATGTCCATCGCTTCTATCTTACCTTGATCTAAGAATTAAAGTCTTTTGTGTCTTTTCTAGCTCCCTTTTACATGCTACAGAGTAGTGAGAGCAAGAAACAAAAGACACACCATTTTAGATTTATTTTTATATGAATGAGTATTTTGTCTGTGTGTATGTCATACACCATATGTGTTCCTGGTAACAGAAATCAGAAGAGGGCAGATCCCTGAACTGGAATTACTGACAGTTGTGAGCTGCCTTGTGTGTGCTGGGCATTGAATTCATCTCCTCTGCAAGAGCAGGGCTTTACTGCTGAGCCACTTCATCCACCCCACAAAAAATACATAAGGAGCCCAGTGTTCTAATTGCCTATTCTACTTTTCCATTATGGATCTTTTATTATCACCTAAGATTGCCCTATTCTGGCCTGCAAATGTCAAAGAAAGTAGCTTAGATATTTGAGTCTATGTGTTTGCTGTTCCTCAGGTCTGTGCACCTTCAAGGCAGGAAAGGTTCAGTCCAAACCAACCTCTCACACTTCCTGGCCTGTGCAGAATTCATTGTGTGCATACCGTTCTAATATTTTACCTCATACAGTGCTGTCTTAATCTATTATGGGCCTGGGGTCATTCAGAGATTCACCAGTCTAACTATGAATATATTTTAATAATGATGAGGCTTATATTCAGATACTGGTACCAGGGCTACCCCTGGGACTTGGGATTCCCAAATGTAGCACAGTGCCCCATTAGTCAGGGATTTAAAAAGGAAAAAAAAAAAACAGCCAGGATGTGGTGGTATGTGCCTTAAATCCCAACACTCAGGGTGCAGACACAGGTAACTCTCTGAGTTCAAGGCCAACCTCGTGTATAGAGTGAGTTTCAGGACAGTCAGGGCTATGTAGAGAAACCCTGTCTCAAAAAATATTAATTGGTTAATTGTTGTGATGAATGGCGGGCTGCATTCCGCCACCTGGCTAGCTTTACACCTGAAATAATTACACGGAAACTGTATTCTTTTAAACACTACCTGGCCCATTAGTTCCAGCCTCTTATTGGCTAGCTCTTACATATTGATCTAACCCATTTCTAATAATCTGTGTAGCCCACAAGGTGGCTTACCAGGAAAGATCTTAACCTGTGTCTGTGTTGGGTGGGAGAATCATGGTGACTGACTGACTCGGCTTCTTTCTCCCAGCATTCTGTCTGTCTACTCCACCTACCTAATTTTCTGTCCTATCAGGGCCAGGGCAGTTTCTTTATTTAACTGCCTTTTTGAGTTTGAAGAATTGGAATTTCCTTTTTACCTGACACTGGGGAACCTCCACATTGTTGAATACCTCATTGCCCACTAACATAAGGCCAGCTGCTCCCTGGTCTAGGGCATCTGGACTAGGCCCTATCAGAGCATCTCACCTAGTATCCTAGGTTATTGAATACGGAATGAATGAAAGACAGCAGAATATGTCCATCAAGGCCCTGCCACCAATGAATTGGCTGGGGCTGTTTCCCTCTATCAGATATATGTGATTTCAGTGACAATGACCCTTATAGGGCTATATATTTGAAGATACTACCAAGAGTGGGATATTGCTGTGATACACCTAGCGATGTTTTTGTTGTTGTTGTTGTTGTTGTTGTTGTTTGGTTTGTTCATTGAGGAATGTGGGAGACTCTGGGACTTTGAACTAGGAGAGAACACTGTAAGTGGGGCTTCGTGGGCCATTATAGAAGGATTTGAGAAGACAGTAGTGCTGAAAACAACACCTATTTAGAGGTCCAGCTCAGGGTTACAAAGGGGCACAATATTAGCAACTGGGCTAGAACCCATTCTTGTGACGTTTTGGCAAAAAATGTGGTTGCTTTTTGCCCTTGTCCTATCAATATACCTGAGACTGAATTGAAGAGTTTTTGGACTAATTTCATTGTCAGAGGAGATTTCTTTTAATATTGACTCTGTCACTGGGTTACTAGTAATCTCTCTTACATAGCTGTACAATGAAAAGGAGAAAGCGGGAGAATAAAAACACAAAATACAGCTTGAGGGGAAAAAGGAGTACTAGGAAATTCAGTGCTAGAGTCATGGCCTGTGCTGGAAGACTTAAGAAAAAGTGAGATAAAGGGTGTGGTTTCTTTAGGGTGAGTGCCTGTTCAGCTAATCCTGCAATTTGGGGAAAGAATAGGCCTAAGGGATTACCTGTTTCTAAAGAGCAGGTAAAACAAAAACAACAAAAACCAAAGTTCATGCAAATGTATTTCAAGGGTGGGGACAGGCTCTAACCCAAGCAGGCGTCAGAACCAGGCAGCCTTGGCTGTGATTTGGAGTCAGGAAGGATAAAGGAGCAAAGGGGCTCTGGAATCTTTTTCCAAGGTTAAGGAGAGCTATTGAGGCCAGGCATGAAAGGCCAGGCAGGGGGGGCATTTCACGAAGCTGTGAAAGTAAAGCCTGAATTGTGTAGGAGACACCCATGATGTTGGAGGTGCCAGAGCTGTGGGAAAGCTACTAAGGAGAGCTGTAGATGGAGAGGAAGCAGCCCAGGTGAGAGAAGGGTGTTGCAGGCAGCAAAGCTGGGAAGGTGGAGCCACTTAAGCCCTTTAACAACAGACACGGAGCTGCAGGACCTGATAGGTTTAGGTGGTGCTTTTGTCCAGTATTTCCTCACTATGTCTCCATTCCTCCCTTTCAAAATAGTAATGTCCATTCTGTGCTATTGTATGTTGGAAGTAAGTAATTTGCCTTTTGATTCTTACAAGGGATTACAATTAAGAGATTGCCTCAAGTCTCAGAAGGGATTCTGGACTTTGAAATTGTTTAGAATGTAAAAGGCTGTGAGGACTTATAAAGTTGGACTCACTGTGTTTTGCACTATTACATGGCTACAAACCTATGGGGACTATAAAGTGAAATGTGGTGACTTGAATGAGAATAGCCCCCAAAGGCTCATGTATTTGAATAGTTGGTCCCTAGTTGATCTAACTGATTGGGAAGGATTAGGAGGCATGGCTGTAATGGTCTATCCTGTCCCTTTAAGAAACAAGCCCCACTCACTCCCTTCCCCCCTCCCCTCCTATCCCATCCACAAGGCAAGGATCTTCCTTCTGCTTCCAGCCTGAGCTCCTTCCTTCCTTTCAGCCTCTTTCCAAAGGATATAGCTTCTCCTCTCCCCCACTTTCTCTTTCTTTCTCTCTCTTGTCCCCCTTCTCCTTCCCTCTCCCCTTTCCCCTTTCCTTCCATAACCCACTAAATAAATATCCACTTTCTCTGCATAGTGTACCTATCCACCTTGGGTCACCTGCTGCAGCTCCACTGCTGCAATCTCAGGTCACCCACAGGGACCCGCTGTGTGCCACAGCTCCCCACCTGGGACTTGCAGCCCCTCATGGCCTACTGCAGGCCCTTGGGGAACTGTGCCCTGCCTGCTGCTTTATCTAAACCATTACAATGGCCCTGTTGGAGGAGGTGTGTCACTGGGGGTGGACTTTGAGGTTTCATTTGTTTCATTTTTTGTTTGTTTGTTTTTCGAGACAGGGTTTCTCTGCAGCTTTGGAGCCTGTCCTGGAACTAGCTCTTGTAGACCAGACTGGTCTCGAACTCACAGAGATCCGCCTGCCTCTGCCTCCCGAGTGCTGGGATTAAAGGCGTGAGCCACCACCACCCGGCGACTTTGAGGTTTCAAATGCTCAAGTCAGGCCCAGTGTGTCCCTCTTTCTTCCTGTTGCCAGTTGATCTGGACATAGAACTCCCAGCTTCTACTCCAGTACCATGTCTACTTGTGTGGCCACCATGCTTCCTACATGAAGACAAGAGACTAAACCTCTGAACCTTAAAGCAAACCCCAATTAAATGTTTTTCTTACATAAGAGTTTCCATGGTCATGGTGCCTCTTCACAGCAACAGAAGAACATTGACTAAGACACCACCCCATTCCCAGCTGGTTCTCTCTCTGCCCTGTGTTTATGGATCAGATGTGAGCTCTCAGATACTGTTCCAACACCATGTCCACCTACCTACTGCCATACTTCCCACCATTATGGTGATGGGCTCACTCTCTGAAACTGTAATCCCCAAAAAATACTGTTTTCTAGAAGTTGCTTCGATCATGTTCTATTGCCTTCCAGCAATTGAAAAGTAACCAAATCAAACTAGAGATCATGAGAAGATAAGTAGAAACTTTTCCAGCATTGGGTTTTATGATTTTAAAAGTAC